ATAGAAAGCAAGAAATCACCCCCCAGGGGGGATGGCCATGCCGCAATCCCTTCTCCTCCATTCTCCTCTCGGGATCTTGGGCGTGCACGCACACGCACCCAGCATGAATTTAAGCCACCAGGTCCAGGACTAGAACCACTGTCGACTACGTGGGAGTCCAGCGACATAGCCATTACACTAACAGCTGATCCCTATTTTGCTTTATTTTTAAATGGACAGAAGTTTAACAGTCTTATCGTTTAATTAAAAAATTATTTTATTGAACTTTATTTATTTATTTAAATTTGACCAGAGAGAGACAGAGTTAGAGAAGGAAAGCGAGAAAGCAAGATGCCAGGTCTGGGACTCAAACCACGGTCAGTCATTTGGAGAGTCTAGCACCATGCCACCTGCTGGCCCCAAAGTTTAACAGTTTTAAATAGTCAACTCTGCTAGTGTTTTTATTTTATGGATTTAGTCTTTGAAATGACGTTTTAAAAATACATTCCCTACTTTAAAACTAGATAATTTTTACTAGTATTTCATTCTAGTTCTTTTATGATTTCTTCTTGTTCTTATTCTTGTTCTTTTTGTGTCCTCCATCATCTTTAAAAAAAAAGTATATATATATATATATATTTACTCTTTCAGGTAAATTTTTTGGTGTAAGGACTAAAAGACAGCCCAATTCTTGGGACCAGCAGATGGCACAGTAGTTACATTGCTGGACTCCCACATGGCCAACTGTGGTTCGAGTCTCGGACCTCGTAGCTTAAAACTCATGCTGGGCGTGTGTGTGTCCAAAATCCCAAGAGGAGAATGGAGGAGAAGGGACTGTGGCATGGCCATCTCCCTGGGGTATGTGTGTGTGTGTGTATGTGTGTGTGTGTGTGTGTGTGTGTGTGTGTAATTTCTCGCTTTCTCTCTGTTTATCTCTGCCTCTCCCACAAGCACATGCACCCTATAGCAAAAATCTCTTAAAAAAATTTTTTAAAGACAACCCAATTTCAGTGAATTCAATAATTTTAAACTATACCTTTACTGAAGAACTTCGTATTTTTCCTATTAATAAGAAATGTTATCTCCACTTATATTGTATTAGGTATTGTAAGTAATCTAGAGATGATTTAAAGTGTACAGGAGGATGTACATGAGTTATGTGTAAATACTACACCATTTTATTTAAAAGACTTGAGCATACATGGATTTTGGATCTGTGGGGCTTCTGGAACCAACCAGAATACTTTTTGCTGTTGTTTTGTTTTGTTTTGTTTTGTTTTTCTGTAAAATTTGCAAAATAAGATATTGTCAAAGTAGTTGGTTAAGACTGTTGTTCCTGTCTTTTAAAATAATTATTTACTGCCTTTTGGCCGGAACCACCATCTTCCAATAATTAACCAAAATGACGAACACAAAGGGAGAGAGGAGAGGCACCTGATATATGTTCTCTAGGCCTTTTAGAAAACATGGAGTGGTTCCGTTGGCAACATACATGCGAATCTACAAGAAAGGTGATCTTGTAGGCATTAAGGGAATGGGTACTGTTCAAAAAGGAATGCCCCACAAATGTTACCATGGCAAAACTGGAAAGTCTACAGTGTCACCCAGCATGCTGTTGGCATTGTTGTGAACAAACAAGTTCAGGGCAAGATTCTTGCCAAGAGAATTCATGTGCGTACTGAGCATATTAAGCATTCTAAGAGCAGAAATGGTTTCCTAAAACGTGTGAAGGAAAATAACCTGAAAAAGAAAGAAGCTAAAGAGAAAGGGACCTGGGTTCAACTAAAGCGCCAACCTGCTCCACCCAGAGAAGCACACTTTGTGAGAACCAATGGAAAAGAGTCTAAGCTACTGGAACCTATTCCCTATGAATTCATGGCATGATGGGTGTTAAAAATAAACTAATCTGTGGTCTATAAAAAATAATAATTATTATTATTTACTTAATTTTACTTATTATTATTTTTTTTAATTTGCTATAGGGCACAGATGCGCATGAGAGAGCAAACCATGGTCACCACATGGCCATGTGGGAGTCCAGTGCCTTAACTACCACGCCACCTACCAGCCTGGCCCCTTAATGTTTTAAATTAAGAAAATGTTTGCTTCAGCTATAAAAGCAAAATCATTGCTATAATATTGACTTCCTTTCTCCGGCTCGCTTTAGGTTTTGCTCTTTTTCTACCTCCTGGATGAGTCTGTTCAACAAATATTTCTCAAGGATATGTTATGTTTCAGGTATTACATCAGCTGTTGGGAGGTTTACATCACTTATTTTTATGATTCCCAGTTTGGCTTAAAAAAAAAAAAGTGTTTGGGGCTATGCTTTGTCTCTTGAGCTCAGCTTTGCATTCCATACATTCTCTATTAAATCACGATTTTATTATTTTATACCAGATAATGTGACCTGTACTAATTTTGTTTGGTAATTTGGTAATTTGAGGCTTGCTTTGAGATTTAAAATCAATTTTTGCTAATAGAGGACATAACCCTTTTTTTTTTTTTTTTTTTTAGAAAAAGAATCAATGAGTCCACACTGATAATTCAAAAACAGAAAGAAAGGAGGAAGGTAGAAAGCGAGAGGGGAGGGTTGTCCTTTATAGAATAATGTCAGCTATTCGATGGATTAGCTCATTGAGAAAGTCATGACTGACTTTTCTGTTTTTCTATGCAGAAACGTGTCATGATGTTCCCCACGACCCAATAGAAGGAATTTCAGAATTTGAAAATCACCATATTACAACCCCCAATGTAGTAACTGATTAAGGTCTTTGCATCATCAATGTAGGCTAAAAACCAGTAAATGAAAGGTTTGGAGGGGAGCAGGGGGGTCAGTCTCAGTGTCACTCCTGTGGATTACTTACCAGTTACACAGGCCTTATACACATTTACAACAGGAGAGCTTTGGCAGCCACAGCTCCAGCCAAGCCAGCAAGGTTGGCATCGCCGACAGTGGGACATTACGTACCTCCTGAAATGATGCAATAAAAAGCACGTCGTAACATCACCTGCCTCCTAGTCTTGCCAAAAATGTTTCACCTGGGACCTAACCACCACTCATTCAGAAACAAGCAGGCAAGTCTAGATTGTGGAACATTCTACTCCACAATCTCCACTCTTCAAAGAAGTCAACACAATAATATGAGCTTGGATCTGGTTGGGGGGGGAATAAATCAATTAGGAAGAAATGAAATATTTTCTCAAAATGTTAATTTTGAGACCATTGGGGAAACCTAAGTATGGGCTATGAAATGCATATGAGATGATATGTTTAATTTTGTTAGGCGTGATAATAGTCTCATTGGTAGCACAACGTCCTTGTCTTTAGGACATGCCTGCTGAAGCGCTGGGGAAGGGGTTGGTACTTATCACTAAGTCTCCTGCCAAGGATGTTTCTGTCCCAAAGAAGTTGTCACTGGACAACTAATGCCTCACAGCCTAGGTCACCTTTGAAGGGTCTGACAAGGTGCAGTGATCTTGTTGAGATTCTTGCTATAGGAAGCACAGGGCCAGGGGGCGACCAGAGGGGGAAGGGGAGGGGACCTGTGGACCCGGGCGAGGTCCCTGGGTGCCAAACCTTCCAGCTCTTTTTCCTTTCCACAAAAGCAGCGGGTATCTGGACGTGGGCACGACGCGGGGACAGCGGCGTGAGGAGTCCAGATGTCCTAGACCGTGCGCTCCGCCTCCTTCTTCTCCAGGCAGCCGGCCGAGGGAA